CGGGAGCGGCGTCTGCGTGGGTTGTGAGCTGGGGCTGGGCAGGGCTGGATGCGGCCGGTGCCCCGGGGCACGCTGCCAGCCCTGCTTCCGGCGAGGTGCCCTGGGAGCAGCGAACCGCACTCGGCTGCGCAAAGCCCAAGTGCCTTCGTGCTGCACTCTGCCTCCCCGCTGCCTGCGCACAGAGGCAGGGCCAGCCCGGCCCTGCTCTCCATCCCCAGCCGCGCTGGGGGACATCTGCGCCTGCTGCTGTGACATGGGGGGGGGGATGTGGAGTCCCCTGCGCTCATCCCTTGAGGCTGGACAGATGCTGCTGCTGGATTCACGGATGCTCTGGCGAGGATGGGGTGACCCGGGAGACTCGGCGGGGCGGGAGATGGGAGCTGGGGCTCTGGCGAGGACCAAACCCCTCGGGGGCTTCTCTGCGTGCCTGCCTAGGCCCCCCAGCCCTGCTCCAGCCGGGAGTCTGCCCCTCCTCACCATCAGTCACGCACAGTGTCCCCTTGCCGGCTCTGCGTGGCACGGGGTCACGTCAGAACCCTCTCCCTCCCTCCGGACCTCTCCCTCCTGTTCAGGGTGTCCCTGTCCCCTGGCAGACCCTGGGCTCGGACCCTGCGTTGGGACCTCGCTGCTGCTCCGGCGGGGCCGGCAGGCATTCTGGCAACAAACCTCTGCCCGTGCCCCGTCCCTTCACCGCGAGGGCCTGCCCCAGCATTATGCCCGGTGTGGGTGCTGCCCCAGCTTGCCCCGGGACCCCAGGGGGGAATTTCTCTTATTTTCTTAAATAAAAGAAAATATTATTTGTCTCTTAGGGCAAGGATTTCTTTCCCTGCTCCCTGCATGCTGTGGAAGGCATCCCCACGGGTGACAGCCGTGTCCCCCCTGCATGGGCACGGTGCTGTCATTCACCAGGTCTTTGCTGGGCTTTTACTGGGGGTAAGGAGACCCCAGGACCTCCCTGCTCCCCCCAGCAGCAACCTGCTTGTGGATGGGGCAGGGGGTCACCCCGTGCTTGGGTGACCTGCTCTGTCCCAAAGGTGCTATCCCTGCCCTGGTGGCATGGGGGGGGGGGGGGGGGGGGGGCACTCCCCACCCCACCCCACCCCCAGCATCCCTGCTTGGGGCAGGACCTCGTGGCTGGAGGCACAAGGGGTCTTTTCCCCCCTTTCCCTCTCCCGGGGGGGAGCTCACGGGGGCCAGCTCGGCTTGCTGCGTTTATTGATTCCTTTTGCTCCAACAAGGCAGATGGGGCTGAATTAAAAACTAAAATCACCCAAAACAACCAGAAACCCAGGGGAGGATGGGAAGGGGGGGGGCGGGGGCCTATCCCTCTCGTGGGGATGCTGCTGCAAAGAGGGACAGCTGGTCCCCAAAGGGAGGGACAGGCCAGCCCCCCTGCAGTGCCCGCCTGTGAG